TAGACGAAAATAAAAATATGGGCACTTTATGTTGGACGGACAGAGTGTAATTTTACATTATTTTATTTTATTTATATTTGATTATATTATTATAATATTTTAAATAAATTAATAAATTTAGATCATCATAATTCAAATTTATTATGTTTATATTGAATTTGATCAATCCGATAAATACCGAATTCAAATTAATTTTGAATTGAGAAATTGAAATTGAAAAATATGAACTTGAAATTGGATTTGAATTTGGATTTGGTCGGAAAATTCTTTTTAAAAAATTCTTTTTAAAAAATTTTGAAAAAACCGACTTCAAATATTCCAATTACCAACAGTCCTGAGGTTTCATAGGCCTAGGGCGAAATTCAAATTATGAGCCCCTAAAATATATCACAATAATTTTTTTAATAATAAAAATATAAATAATTAAATAAAATAATTTCTTCTAGCATTTTTAGATGCAAATTCATCGATAATAGTATCAATATTAATTTTTTCTAATATTTCTTTTTCAATACACAACATAGCCAAACCATTTAATCGTTCTTGAGACATACACGATCTTAAATAAGTTTTTAATAATTTTAATTTTGAAAAACTTCTTTCGGCTGATGCTACTGTTACTGGTACAGTTAATAAAATACGATAGACTATGGAAACATTAGGATAACAATCAGCCGCTCTAATAAATTTAAGAATTTCAATCGGTGACATTAAGTTATCAGGTAAAATCATTCGTAGAACTTTTAATTCAGCAATCATTTCTTCTATGTCAATATCAGAAATATTATTATGAGAAAAAATAGTTAATAAAACAGTACAACATTCTCTTAACTCCTTATTGTCTAAAGATTTTAATTTTTGTGAATTAAATAAAAAATCAAAAATGCTATTAAACATTTTCAATTGCATAAACCTATCATTAAATGAAATAATGGTCATATCTACTACAACTAAAAAATAATTAATTTTAAAGTTTTCTTCTTCTGATTGTACTTGTTCATTTTGATCACTATCATCAAATTTTCTTTTTCTAAAAATACGACGTTTAGTTGGAAATACGCATTCGATATCCATAATTAAAGCAATTTTTTTTGCAACATGCATACTATTGAAAAGTCCTTCATTTCTATATTTTTCAAAAAATAATAAAGCATCCTCTATTTGTTTCATAGCCGTATCAATACTTACAAATTCAGATTGTAATTTTTTACTCACACTATTAATAACAAATAAAATATCATACCAAATAATCATACCAAGTAAAAATTCATAGGATTCAAGTGAACCAATCAAACTTTCAACTTCACTTTTTGATTTAGCATCATCACATGAATTAATTAAATCTAACAAAGCTAATCTAATTTGAGGAGTTTGAAATCTAATAGCTTTAACACTTTTAATTCTACTTTCCCAACGAGTGTTTGACAAAGATTTTAAAGTAAAATTTGAAATATTATCGAGCAAAAATTTCCATCTTTTTGTCGAGCTTGAAAATAATGTATATATATGTTACACAATTCCAAAAAATGATACTACTTTTGTACAAAAATGTGTCATATCACAAAGTGTAAGATTAAGACTATGACAAGCACATGACATATATAATGCTCTAGGATTTATATCAAGTAATCTTTTTTGAACTCCTTGGTATTTATCTTTCATATTAGATCCATTATCATAACTTTGACCCCTTATATTATCAATATTAAGATCAAGGTATTCAATTGCATTTTCAATTCTTTAAAAATTCCTAAACCACTTGTATCTTCTACTTGCAAAAATTGTAAAAAGTATTCTTCGATTTTAATTTTACTACTTGACATATCTATACAACGCACAATTAAAGTCATTTGTTATTGGTGACTAATATCCGGGGTACAATATAGAATTATTGAAAAATATTTTGACTCTTTAATAATTTTTATAATTGAACTTCTAACACTATGAGCCAATAAAGAAATTAATTCATTTTGAATTTTGTGACCAAGATAATGATAATGAATTTCATTATTTTGAATACGCCTAATATGATCTTGCATAACTATATCAAATTCAGCAATCATTTCAATTATTTCTAAAAAATTACCATTACTGTTTTTATAAAGTTTTTCATTCGAACCTCGAAAAGCTAAATTATGTTTAGAAAGACATTTTACAACAGAAATTATTATAATTAAAACTTGTCTCAAACGTTCCTTTTATTTTGTAATTTCTTTTTGAATATCTTTATCAATTGTTTGATATTTATTTAATCTTATTTTTAATTCATTCCAAGTATTCATATATGTTATATGTTCAATACTATTTTCATGTTGTTTAAGTCTTTCGGCTAAATGTTTTCGATCTTTAAATTCATCATTTGCAAACAAACATTTACTGTTATTTTTCTTAGACATTTTACAACAAAAACAATATATTTTATCTACATGTTTAGAATAAACTAACAATTTTTTATCACTAATTTCTCCATTATTTAATTTTCTAAAGTAATGGACATATGAAAAATGTCTGTAAGTCTTATATAAAGGAAAAGTAAGACCTAATTCTCTTCTAAGTCCATTTTCAATTAAAATATTTTCTTGTATACTATCCAAATTATCCCAATTTTTAGGATCATAAATATCTAAATAAAAAATATCACTATCATCAATTTATAATCCTATTTCATTATTATTATTATTATTATTATTATTATTATATTATTATTATTATTATTATTACTACTACTACTAGTACTATTATTCTTATTATTATTGATAATATCAATATCGACAATATTTTCGCTATTTAAATTTTCAATAGATTTAGAATGTTCAATATAATTATCATTTAATTCATCAAAACTCGTAGAATAACCTATATTCTTATTGAAAAATTTATCTAAAGCTCCTTTTTGTGATTTTATTAATTGTTCTTCTTGTTTTTTTTTTTACCACTTCCTGATAAATGTTTTTTAGATAGCATTTTAAAAAATTTATAAATATAAATAAAACAATAAAATAACAACACTACCCGATGAATTTTCCTCTTTTTTGCTTTACTGCCAATTTTTATTGTGTGTTCCTTGATACCTACATTGAAAAAATAATAAATAATATACAATTGGTAAAAAGATATAAAATTTCAAAATTTAAACGTTCTAAAAATTAGACATATAAATGAAACAATAATATATATGTAAGACAATTAAAAATATAATAAAATAATAAAAGAGTTTAATCCCTAAAATAAAAAAAAAAAGTTAAACCTTGTTAGTCGTTACCTTAAATGTACGAAAAAAATATTCTGAGTGATTTAGAATTTGAATTTTCTTCTTTATTTTTTTTCTTTATCTTGTACCTGCAATAGAGAAAATACCATATAATAAATATTAAAAAATCAAATAATAAACATTAACAAAAATATACACTATTAAAATTTTAAAACAATAAAATCTAACATTGACTTTGTTATTCTGTATTCTGTAGAATAAAAAAATAATCTTATAAAAAATTGTAGATTGGAGAAACAAAAAATCACAGTGTGAAGATGAATGGATGCGGAATAAAGATGGAGAACAGAGAACAGAGAAAGAACGAAAGAAATAAGAAAATTGACATATAACTTAAAAGAAATTTATAAAATGAAAAAAAAAAAGTTAAAAACAGTCTAAAAAAACTCTTCAAGCAACTCTGCAACTTCCTTTTAAAATTCTCATAGAGATTACATAGAAACTACCATTGCAACTGCACGCCACACTGTATTTTGACTTTTTTTTTTCAATTATAAATTTATTATTTATTTTTATTTTTTAAAACATCTTTTATATATATATATATATCTACATGTTGATGGGCCCTTTTGCATTTTGGGCCCTGGGCGAGGGTCCCTTTCGCCCTGGCCCAAGGCCGGGCCTGATTACCAATTACATTTTCGATGCCCACCCCTAATCTTACCCCATGGCCGCCCCCGAAACTCCCAATCCTCCCCTTCCTCCCCCTGTGTGTGTTGTTGTTGCCGCTCCTCATATTGCAAGTGACGAAAGTGACCCTAAAATAGAGGAAAGCGAAAGAGGGTGAAGAAAAAAATACTTTTATTAAGAAGGGTATTTTTGTATCTTCATCTATTAACTATGATTTTGTGATACTACTCGCAGTTTAGACGTGTGTTTTACAATTTCTTATAAATACTAATGGATGAGATATTTTTATACAATATTTTAGAAACTACAAATAAGTTTTATAAAAATTTTGGATCATCAAAGGTTTAAGAAAATTCAATAAATTACAGAGACTTTTATACTATTTTATCTATTTATATATGTACACATAATGTTGGTATAAAAGTTATTATAAAATAAATTTAAGATCTTAAATAAAATGAATAAAATTTATATTTATGTTTAAATAAATTATTTTGATATTAATTTTTTTAATTAACTTTATTTATTATGCCTTTATTATTATTGTCTCATCTTATTTGTTCAATTTTCTGTAGATATATATGAAATTTAAATAAGAGTATAATTAATAAATAAATAAAAACTATGTTAATAAAAATAATTATTATATATAATACAAATAATTATAAAATATAATTAAAATGATTAATTAATTTAATTTAAATTAAGAAATTTATAGATTATAAAATTTAAAATTTAATTAAAATATATTATTATTTTTAAAAAAAGAAATGACAATTATATAAGATTGATGAAAGCAAAAAATATGAACAAATTATATGGACGAATGGAGTGCTTTTTTTTTATAATGTGGTTGTTTAGTATTTTATATTTTTAGGTTTTGTTTTGTTTTTTTTTTTTGGTAAATATGAAGAATTATAAAGGTATCATCTAATATGCATATATATATTTACCCTGGAAAGGCAGGGATAAAGGCAGGGATCACGCCACGTGTTGGCCTATTAATTTTTTTATTTATTTATTTTATGAGTGTGGATCCTACGAATTAAAAATTAAATGACTTTCATCCTTCTAATCCATGACAGAGGCTCCACAAACCCTTCGCTGCACAACCTCAACCTCAACTCATGGCCACCTCACTCCGGACTTTCTTCCACTTCCGCAATCATGGCCGTTGACCAGAAACTCACCACTGCACCGCCAATTTTCCGGTTGCCCCATCCGGTTACCTCCTTCCCTCAACACCTCGGAATATCACCGGCCTTATTCGACGCGGCCTGTACCTCCAGTAAGATTTTGGATCGATCTCATCTTGATCTACAACACGTGTTCACTTATCCACTTAATTTGAGGTGTTAATTTACGCGTTCACTTATCCCATTATACTATTCAGTTATCCCGTTAATTTGATGTGTTTACCTAGATTCATTCGACCACTTACTTTCCTAATTTTTGTTGAATGCATATTGTAGTCCTCTAGACGAAGACAACAAAAGAAGCAATTTTGGACATCCTTGCGACCCATTATATTCCCCCAACCATGTCCGGTGATCTCAACGTATGAGACACAATATCAGTTGGAGTTGTTTTTTATTGGTGTTTTCCTTCCCCTTCTATTTCTAACTTTATTGTGCATTTGCAGTATTTTGAATAATCATGTTTTACTTGGTTTTGGAGTTGAAACAACCATTAGTTTTTTATTATCAAACATAAATTTCTGTTTTGAATTATAGGATGTGGTATTGTTTGTTACATAATTTGATTTGATTGATGATAATTAATATAATTGTCTCATGTCAATAGAAATGTCCCACTTAATTTACTTATCATTTGTTAACGCAATATCAGTTGGAGTTGTTCTTGATTGGTATTTTTCTTCTCTTTTTGCTTCTAATTTGATTGTGCATTTGCATTATTTTGAATAATCATGTTTCACTTGGTTTTGGAGTTGAAAGAACCATTAGTTTCTTATTTTGAATAATCATGTTTTACCATTGTCATATGGTTAATAGAAATACTCTGTTGTTGAGCATCAAAATGTACTTTCAAATTTTGACGTGAGAATTGCTTATTAGATGGTTTTGGAATTGCAAGGAACATAATGCACAAAAGCATTAGTTATTATTATTATTATTAAACATAAATATTTGTTTTCAATTATGAGATGTAGTATTATTTGTTACATAATTTAATTTGATGTGTCACAGTTATTGCTTTAGTAGTTTGGCTGGTAGGACAGTTTATGATATTGAATCTCGAAGGGGGTTATTTTCAGCTTGAGCAATTATAATAACAACAGGAAGAATTATAGTTTAAAATGCAATAACGGACATATAATTTGTCATCACTTTTTGAGACTTCAGTTTGCATTAGGCTTATATTATGTTTTAATATCTTAGGCTTCATGATGACAGGATCATTGGCCAACTTTTTTTAAAGAATATGTCCATAAGTTGAAGTCCCTTTCTTTTCATCGGGAGCAGATAAATCTTCACCAGGTACTGTTCGCTTAACTCCACTCTTTAGGTTATTATTTTTCATGCTTCCACACTATAGCTCAATGGTTGGAGAATTTTTTTTGCTAAAATGACCAAATTCAGTTCTTTAAAACCTTTATATTATTGAAGAAGCTGACGTTTTGTGGAAAAAAGGTCATGTAGATATATCACTAAGAAGGAGTTTGAGTTCATGAAATCTACATCATTCTGTTTGACCCGTACACATAGATGTATTCCTGTAAAACCTAAATCATAGAATATAGGTAGAAAAAGAATAACTACAATTTCTGTTGCGACAAAGAAACTATTATAACTTAGATGCTCATCTGACATTGAGTGTAGCTAATTGAATTCAAATAATCTACAAACTGAAACTAAAATGATAAAAGAAATTTTTCATGGACGAGGAATCTAAGCAAAATAAACATCAATCAACAGGAATTCAAGGGGGTACAGTAAATGCATTTATATACTATAGTATTGAACTACTATGTAATGTGATGTACATTCAGATAAATTTTTCAGTGTTGTTGGGAATAAAGTACTCAAGTATGTTTAGATAATTTGATTATATGAATAAGTTTCATCTCTATTTCTAGTTGAATTAAGTTATTTCTGGATTAACATATCCCGAAGTGAGTTGAGATCTAGGATCTCTATCTTTCTCAACCGACAGTATGTCATACAATTTTTTTATTAAATTATAATTATGCAATACCACCACAAGGAAATATGTGCTAAAGTAGGATCAATGTTCAAATTTGCACAAGTTTCTTTATATACGTACTTTACCTTTTATTTATATGTTGATTTAAATATTTTTTATTTACTTACAAAATCATTTACTTTAAATATTTATCTATATAATAATTTAATCATTTTGAATATTTCTCTAAAAAAATTTCAATGTAACACTTGATTAATACTAAATTGAATATGTTTAATAAATTATTAATTTTGTAGTAACTTCTTATTTTTACAGATGGATACGACACGAGCTTTTAGCAAAATTGCTCGATTATTTTTAAATTTATAATTATTTTTATTATACAATAATAATATTTTTACAACTTCCTGTGCATAGCACAGGGTTACTTCTAGTAAAATTATGTTTTGTATGCTTTTACTAGTTTTATTTTATTGTGTATATATATAATATTTTAAATTACTCCCTCCATTCCAAACAAATGTACCCATTTGAGTTTTTTCAGTAAATTAAAAATAATAATAATTTATTAGTTAGTAGAAATGTATAATATAGTCTTGAATATTTTTGTGTTTTGTACTTTATGTATGTATGGAATGATATTCTATAGTTTATGTAAAAATTAAAAGTTTTAGCGTTAATATGTGATTCTTTTTACTACAATAAAAAATTGATTGATTGAGTTAGACAAACTAAAATAGTAAAAATTGTACCTTCAATTAGAACATAAAGAGTATATATATATTTACTTGTAAATATTTTTATAAAATTCTATATTCTATAAATGCTAAACAAACATTCATTATGTTTTTACTATTATTTTATTACTTTTTAAGAAGAAAATACTAAAAACAAAATTTTATTTTTTATAGAAAATATTTTATTAAATAATTATTTTATCTCAAAATTATTAAAATAAAACAAAAGTAAAAGTACAAATTATTTGATTCCGTCTATACATATCTTCAAGACAAACAACATATATTTGATAGAACATGATATAATTTTATATAGCATATATCATAATTACATATTATATAATTTCATATAATTTGATAGAACATGATATAATTTTATATAGCATATATCATAATTACATATTATATAATTTCATATAATTAAATATAATACTGATTTAAAAATAAATAAATAAATATATTTATACGGTAAAACATAAATATAAAATTTCATATGCTATATGATACAACATTGTGTTGTACTATATAAAATATGCACCGTCTGTCTTCACTATGTGTGTTGGTTGGATCAAATCAGTACAATGTTTATATGACCCAATCAACACTGAAACCGCCATTATATATATATATCAATAAAAATGCCGAAATATACATAGATCCATTTATGATGTCTCAAGGAGAAGATGTTTATGATGTTGTTGAGTTCGCGTGATCCCATCCAACAAAGACTATTTGAGGAAAAGATTATGTTTCCAGTGTTGCGAAGAAACCAAAGCAAGAATGGACCTTAAACAAGAAAGCAGCTGGAATTGCTAATTTGAAAGTTATTTACTCCATTTTCAACGTTATGGATGAAACTCAGTTGAAGCTTATATCCAACTGCAAGGTTGCTAAGGAAGCTTGGGATTTTCTAAAAAATGCATTTGAAGGGTCTGTCCAAGTCAAAAAATCAAAACTAGAATATATTGAAACAATATTCAAAGGGCTGAAAATGAATTAAGACGAAACGGTTGGTGAATATTAAAATCGTTCTAAGGTCATTGTCAACCAAGCTGAAGCATTGGGAATGCACATCGAAAAAAGAATATTGGTGAGGAATATTTTAAGAACAATTACAAAGAACTTCAAACCAAAATTGATTATGCTCGATGAACCTCAAAAGTTGAAGGATATGAGTTTGGATGACTTGTATGGTGCATTTGTGAGCTACGAAATGAACTATCTTAAGGATGAAACTCCTAAAAGTATGACCCTGAGTGTGGAAGACATGGAATTAATCGAATCTGATGAGAATGACATTTTTTAGTTGAAAACTGTGATACCTGAGTTTTTCACTACTCATTGGCCAATATATATTTCATATTTTTGGTGCTGGTAAATTACTTATATTTTAATTTGTGGTAGTTTAAATATACTTCATGAGTTGCATACATTAGTTTAGTTGAGTATTAATTGTTTAATTATATGTTCTGTTTATATTATTTATGTGTTAATTTATAATTAGTTGAGCATGCCTTGAGTGCACTTTATATTATTTATATGTCACTGGTGATTTTAGGTTATTTATTTTACTATTGAATGTTAAATTTTTTATAATTTGGTATATGTCTTACCTGTTTATTAATAAGAAAATATTATCATAATTTATCTGATATTCTAATAGGATACAAATAGGTTGGGTAAATTATTTGGATATTAGTGGTGTAAGTTAAATATAGATCACTTGAAAATTAATTATAGTAATTAAATAAAAAGTAAAATAAAAAGAATAATTAAATAAATAATAATAATAATAATGATGATAATAATAATAATAACAATAATAATTTAATTAAGGCGGTGGGGCGGGGTAATACCCCACCACCTCATCCATATCAATTCAGAAGAACAGGGAGAAAGGCAACGCGAAGAAAAATAAAAAAAAATAAAAAATTTACGCCGAATTTGTTAAAAGCCTAGTTCAGGTATTTTTTTCATGTTCACGAATTATTGCTATTTTTACTAAGTAGATGAAGTTTTGAGTAGAAATAATTATTTAGTAAATTGGGGTAATATTTGTAATTAATTGTTGTTAGATACGATACTGGAATCGTGAAAAAGGCGTTAAGAGTTAGGGTTACTGACGTTTTTGGCGAATTTCAGGTTAGTAGAAATTCATTTACAACTACAATGCATAAATATATTATCTTGTAAGTTATTTATGTTTGATTGACAATATGTAAATATCAGAAAACTGTAATATGTAATTAATATTCTGTGATTATGTGATTTGAGCCTGCGAGCTCCGTATATAAATTGGTTTCAGCCTGTGAGCTCTGTATGTGATATGGTTGAGCCTGTGAACTCTATATTTGATGTTGAAGGAGTCTGTGAGCTCCAAAATTGATGTGGTTTGAACCAGTGAGTTCAATAATATATGTATATTGTGAAATATGTTGCATTGCATTTTCATTAAGCATGCATATCATGCATTGAAATGAAATAAGATGGTTTTACTATGTTAGACCACTTATTATACACCGAGGGCAGGAGAGGCAACCTGGGAAGAAGCGACTTGGGGAAACCTGGTATAGGCTACCTGGTGTAGGCCACCGTCTATTGTGACTTTACATACAATGCATAAACAATGCATTCGGAAGAGGCGATATGGGAAGAAGCGACCCGGGGAAACCTTGCGAGGAAACCCGGTGTAGGCTACCTGGTGTAGGCCACCATTTGATTTGAATACGTGGATATTGAGCTATTTCCGGTGTATAGCAGTGTGTCTAGGGGCCCTTGAGAGTATTTTATAAATAAATTAGTGATTTCAAATGAGAGCACATTCTGCATAATGAGAATTTTGAGATAAACTTCACATTATGCATAATTTCTACTTATGGAGATTTATAAATCTCACTCAGTTTATGCATTGTAGGTAATCCTGATGATATGTGATTTGATGGTCAGACTGGAGTAGTCATGGCGCTCTTACAGGCATTTTGAGTTACCGTGTACATAGATGACGACCTGCGGGCAAGACCGTGGCTTGTTTTGCTTCCGTTGTTCCATATTACGTCTGTTTTAAAAGTTGTATGGTGTTGTTATAAAGAGTATGTCGATTGTGTAGTTTTTGATATGGTTTGAGATTCTTTTGGTGAATGTTAACAGGTTACTGTTGAGTTATGTTATGTTTTGCTGAGAAAAAAAATTATAGCAGGTTAACAGGTTGTTATATATGTAAGTAATTAAGAGGGATTATAACATGTGTATCGTTTACTTATATGTGAATTGGCGTTAGTATTATAGTGTAAGTGGGGTCGTGTCAAAAACTTTCGAGGATAATTAGTGGGAAACGTGCAGCCAAGATAAAGTATGGGCAATTTCATAATCGAGGTGGCTATCAAGTGTTAATACATTAAATTCAAAATGGAAATGTTTTGAGCAAAAACCATCAGATTACAGCAAGCCTAAAAAAAAAAATTGATGGTGGATTCAAGAAGAAGTTTATTGTATCTACTAAGCCTGAATCGGTTCAAGAGCCTACCTGCTATGGATGTGGAGGAGTTGGTCACATTAAATCTGAATGTCCAACGGTGAAGAAAAGAGAGAAAAGAGTGTATCAAACAATATGGAGTGACAATGATGAAGATGAATCTGTCTATGTTGAGGAGAAGACTGAAAAAGATGAAGTTGTGGCATTCATGGCTGGTGTCGATGAAGCCAGTAAAGTAAAGGAAGTTTCCATTACAGAAACTGCTGAGAATCAAGAGAACTGGATGCAGATGAGTTGATTGAAGCTTATGAGAAGACGGTAGCAGAGCAAAAGAAATTTGTGGTAAAGAACAAAGAGCTACTGGATACTATCTACCAATTGGAAGCTCGGAATGAGAAATTGGATGATGGAATCGAAATTTTGAAGAAGGATATTAATGAGAAATCAACTGAATCTAATGGATTAAAGGTTGAAAATGTGTAGTTGGAGCAAAAGAATAATAAACTTCGAAAGGGAAAAGAGATATTAGATGAAGTTCTTTCGATTGGAAAACCATTCGGAGATTACAAAAGAATAAGTTTTTTGAATCCTCTCAAAGCAAACCAACTACATTTTTTTGTGGTGGACTTCGTGTTGATGTCGAAATTCCATAAAAGAAACAAATCTCAGTTGTGAAGTAGAACTCAAAAAGAAAAAAAAAAATAGTTTATGGGAGAAAAATCTCAGAAGGACACATGGCGTTAGATAGATATCATCACGATGTAACGACTATGGATACTGCAGATGTCTTGGACATACAGCTAAAAATATTTCAAATTGACAAAAGATGTGATGAATGGAAGACATATTCAGTGGCCTACTGAATAACTGAAACATAATGTTAAAGTCAGATTGGTATGGATGCCCAAAGAAAATTAAAAGACAAACATTCTTACGAAGGCTTTGGATGCGGATTGATTTGAAAATTTTGGACGTTATTTTGGATATGCATTCGTACCCTACTTGATTTTGCATGCATAGGCTTAATAAATTCTCCAATATATTCATGGTATTTAGAGTATTCGTGGTGAATATTGGAGAATGAAAATAATTTTAAAAGATTTTTTAAAATAAAAATCCAAAAAGAATTGAGAAGAGATTTGATTGAACAATGGTGAAAATCAGATTTGATGCTTGTTTGAGTGATCATGGTGAACGTTGTGGTTGTGGATTAATTCGAGGTAAAGAACATTTTAGTCCTACACGGGATTTTGAAGGATTTCAGGTCTTTTGATGTTGCACAAACCATTGTTGATGTTGATGTTGCTTGAACAATTGTTTCTTATGTTGGGAAGTTGTTGCTACAAAAAAACTAATGTCGAATCAACCGAAGTTGTTGGTGTTGGTATTGGTGTTGCTGCAACTATTTTCAGCAGACCATAGGAGAAGGAATTCCTGAAAATGGAATAAATGAAATTTATGAAGGAATTGAAATTTCTGTTGATGATGTTGATGATGTTGCTGGAACAACGGCTGGTGATGTTGTTGAGGTTGTTGTTGCAACCATTTCTCAGCAAATTGAGATTGTTTTTTAAAGTTACTTATTCTTTTTGTCATATGCTCCCACGAAGGGGAGTAATGCAGAAAATGGGAGATTATTTTTTTTGGGGGGGGGGAAGTTTAGTTTGATGTTGTCTGCGTTGCTGATTATTGATTCTATCTACTGCTACTATTTTCGTTAGAAGATTGGGTGTGTGAGTAGACTAATTCCTACATTTGAATTTTGTGGTTCCGTATGCTAAAAAGGAGAAGAGTGTGAATGAAAATTTGTTTATGTTATTTTGGCATATGGACAAATGGTGTCTTAATTCTGCATCAAAATCTTTTCATTTCTAGCATTCAGAGAGAGTCTTATGCTGGGTATATGGGTTTGGTCTTATCCAATTTGTCCCATTCTTAAATATTTACAAAAAAAAAAAAAAAAAAAAAAAAAAAAAGGTATATTTGAGAAAATGTCAAACCACATCAGTCCTATAAAAAATCACTCCTTTTATTTCGGTGCAAAGAAAAATTAATGTAAAATTTTTTATTTAAAAATTGTGAGTTGAGAGCATGTTTTAGAAAAAATACTATTGAGTGTAGCTTTCATCATCCACCCTTATTGATTATCCTCGGTTTGAATGAGTGTTTGATCCTAATTTAGTTTATATTAATACTCAATTATTAATCAAGACCTCAAATTGCATATAACCTCAAGTGAACAAATTAAAGTCTAGTATCAATTTCATTTAAATAATAATAATAAATAAATAAAGACTTGCTTGAATCAACTCTAAAACTATGCTCACAGGGGGTTTAGGATCTAGAATAACTTATGACTCGATTCTTTTGAGGTAATTCATATAACAATCAATGAAGCATAATTTGATTTTTTTTTTTTTTTTTTTTTTTTTTTTTTTTTCGAATTCTATTTGAAAATCATGTGAAAAAAAGGAGAGCTTGGGGATGTAGTCGAAAGTTTTACATGCAAGTGGTGGAAATAGAAGAATAAAAGTCCCTATGAGCTCAACCCATGGGTAAAAGGTACTAAACATGAATATCTTGTAAAGTATACGATAGCCCAATTTTGAAAAAATTATGTAAAGATTTGAATAAAATACTAAGATAAAATCTTTTGAATTTTTAGTAATGGTGAATTTTCTTTCTTGTACGACCATTGGTGTTGTGAGAATCTCATAACTCGATGAACTAATTTTGTATCAATAGAGAATAGAACATCTAGACATTCTTATGGCGCCTCTTTCTCAACCGTGTTCCATTGACGCTAACCTTCACAAACGAGGTATCCCAATTGTTTCTACATGCCAATGTTGTGGAGATACTAAGTCGATGGAGAACTTGTTTGTGGCGGGTGAGAGCAGTCGAGGGCTTGTGGAGATTCTTCTCTAACATTTTTCCATTTACATCCCCCCATTGCACGCTCACCACACATGATAATCATTTTTTTGGAAAGTCTACTACAAAAACTCACAATGTATATTCAATATCTTCTGCCTTTGCTAATCTTTTGGTTCATTTGGGCCGAAAGAAATAATGCAAAACACAAAAATAATAACATTTTGTGAAAACAGCTTCGCTTAACTTTTTGCGCTTAAAAAAGGTTTAGGAGATTGATGCCGATATTGGCTGCATCCCACTGTGGATTGAGCTCGACTAGAAAGCCCGCACTCACCTCATTCACTCATCATCAGGCCATTGGACACTCGAAGGGCTTCTCTCCAAGATCTCACTTATTGGGTAGAACTAACATCGTCCTTGACTCACGGCCATTTTGAGTTTGCCTTGTGCCCGAGTCGCCATCACAGCCATTAAGTTGTGTTCTACATCTGCACCGCTCAGATCAATCAAACACGGCTACCGGCTGAGCCCAAGTCACTCCAATACAGCTTAAACGTCGATCCACTTAAGAACGCTTAAGTACATCTCTGTTAACACAACTAACTCAAAGGGATAAAAAAACACAAAGATGGAAAATTGAATGCCCGGCAAAAAACTGAAGTTTCAACACTGATACCCGGTTCAACATTGATATACCCTACATTGAAGTCAGCTTTCCCTGTGCCAGCCTAGCAAACATCTTACCTCGAAACAATGACAGATACGGCCTCAAACCAAAATTTAAGAACAATCCGAGAAATAACAGTGCTACCTTGTCAGATTTCTTTAGGCAAATCTGAGTTTGAATCGAGTTCAGTTGAGGTACCATGAGGTTAGAGTTTCAGGGCAGATTTTGCCATTGCCAATGCGCCCTCGTATGTATGGTTTCCACCGATAAATCCACTCATGTGGACAAAAATGCAACCAGAGATTCCTGACTCCTTGGATAGTTCTTCGTCTCTGAGTCCACGCCATGCAGAAGGAAGTGCTTTACGACTCTCAAATCTATCAGGTGCTATTGCCATTGCCTGAACTCGCCAACTTTTGCTGCGATCATCCTAATAACATTTCCAGAATATGTCAAGAAATTCTAAGATTGCATAAACAGTTGTGCAGATGAACACGTGTTACGAAAATTCACAGGGAGATAAATAGAATGGCGCATAGTTGACAAAAAAAAGTAACAGAGACCAAGCAGAAAACGTTAACACGGAATTAAGTGCAGGACCAAACATGATTAAATGAACAGAAACATATTCATAATAACTACCTCATAGAGAACATATTTAATCGATGGGCTAATCTTCATCTCTTCCTCCAGCTCAAACAAATGAAGTTTCCACTGAAAAGGATAATCTCAGTATGATCAATATATCACATGGCTTTCTTGGATAAATTTCTAGCAATGCATTAACATCTACTACTCTGACAAGTAAACTTCTAGGACTAAATACATGAGAAAGTAAATCAAATGCTAAATAATTACACGGTTACAGAATTGCTTTGACAAGGCCTACAGAAAAAGCTGACTTAAGATAGGCATATAAATATGCTTACTAATTGTAAGCTTGTGTGATAAATAAGAGAACAAATGCTACTGGCTAGAAAGCCTGGCCTATTCATAAAATACATGTTTAATTGCAGAAATCGTGCTGGTAAAACTACTCACCGGACAAAATCTATCTAATACCATGATTTCTCCAGACAGATCATATTCAAGCCTAGCTTCAAGACATTTCCTAACAATTGAACGAGCTGGCAGCCATGATCTTGCATGAAATCGGAGACTCTGAATATACACAAAAGTTGTTAGAGTTTGTATGAACCAAATCTCCAGCTTCAAGCAACGCAGATGCCATTTCCATATAAATAATTTCAGGTTCAGTGAAAACGTCTGGTTGAAATTCTCATAATGAGAATGTTTTAAAAGCAGCAATGTCGAAAGAAACTAATCTGTGAAGATAGGCCAGAAAAATGACCAAATAATAATAATAATAATGAATTCTGTTTGGATAGACGAAACTTACATCCAAAAACTCTTTGCCTGCCAGAGTCATGGCACTTTCAAAGGCTTCATTTTCCTTCTCAGCTGATTGATCGGGATCTATCCAATCCAAGTTTAATTTTCCGACTCTTGAAGACAAATGAGTATTATTTACGAATCTTGGTGGCTGGTCAGTATCATATTGATTGATTCCATTGTCAATTGCATCAATTGCCTGCCATTTGTGTAATTAGTGTACGAGCAATCAAAAGTTTCAAATAATTTTAATTATACATGGATGCTGCAGATAAGACAAGAAATACAGGAAAATAGTGATAACCCATAAAACTAAATAATAATATGAAGAATGATCATGATTAAACTTTTATGATACCAAGTTCAGAAAATGCTGCAATTGCAAATGGTGCCATTGATATTGTGACGAGGAATTATATAATGGATTGGTAGGTTTCTGTCTTGCACCACAAAAGCAGTGTTGGTACAATTGAGGGTGTGTTATGAGACGTTGAAGTTTTTGAAACAGGGCATACGAAACTGGTGTGATTCATAATTACAGGTCATATCATTTAGACGTTCGTATTTAAACATGATTGGGCAGCATCTGATTATTTATCTTCAGTTGATGCGGTTGTTCTAAAGAAGATAGAAAATAAAAAAGACATTACATGGATGAACACTTACAACTGTTAATTCCACAAGTTGTGTTGTACTAGGATCATACTTCTAAACAAGTTTTGTCACAATCTTGCGAACACCATAATCTTAAAAGAAGGGGTTGCATAAGGAAAGATGCTACAAATTGCAAGGGCGCCCACCCTCGAGCTAATCTCGCCCATGTTGACTTGCCTCTGCCTCATGTTGATGTCTCTCAATCTATAGTGATCGGTGGTTCGGATTATGCAGCATTCCTTGAGTACCAAGCTTTGAAGCAGTCCATTCCTCCTGACGGTCCTGTTTCCGGTCTGGTCGCCTGTGACTTTTATAAATTCCCTCCTGGTTCTTGGATCCTTGATTCTGGTGCATCAGGTTATATGTCTGAAAATCTCCTTTTTTTCTCTTCCTCTTCTCCCTCCACATCTTTACCCCTTGTTACTTTGGCTAATGGTCATCGAGCCACTGCAACCGCAATTGGTACCGCCCATCCTCTTCCTTATATTTCTATTGATTCGGTCTTTTATGTTCCTTCATGTCCATTTAATATTGTCTCTATTAGTCGACTAACTAAATCCTTAAATTATTCTTATCACCTTTAATATAGACTCTTTCTCTATCCAGGATCGTCAGACGGGACAACTGATTGGCGAATGTCGTGAGTCGCATGGCATTTACTTTTTCCCACCATCTCCACCTCCATCTTCATCGCCCGTATTATGTCTTGCCACTGCTGAGCGGAACCTTTTTCACCAGCGGTTTGGTCACCCATCTCCATCCAAGTTGAAGCATATGGCGTCTATTTTATCTTCTTTGTCGTCTTTAGAATATGAGTCATGTCAGGTTGGTAAACAGCCTCATGCATCGTTTCCTCAGCGCGTAGATTCTTGGGCTTCTAAACCCTTTGATTTTGTCCACTTTGACATCTGGGGTCCTAGTCGTACTTTGTCGGGTTTTGAATTTCAATATTTCATTACATTTGTGATGATTTTTCTCGTTGTACTTGGCTTTATCTATTGAAAAGTCGTTTAGAATTATTTTCTTCTATATTTTGCTCTTTTTGTGCTGAAATTCAAACTCAATTTGGGGTGTCTATCAAGGTTTTATGAAGTGACTGCTTCTGAGTATTTTTCTTCCTCTAACTGCATACATGACTTCACACGATATCCTCCATCAGTCCTCTTGTGTCATCACATTTTTGAGCCGATGTAGTACTTGCGGCTTGTTACCTAATCAACCGTATGCCTTTTTCAGTCCTTCAGGGTGGGGTTCCTCATCAGTGTCTTTTCCATCCGAGCCATTGTTCTCTTTACTACCTCGTGTCTTTGGGTGTACGTGTTTTATTTATGATCACTCTCCTAGACTCGATAAACTTTTTGCATGTGCTATTAAGTGTATTTTCTTTGGTTATTCGCGGGTTCAAAAAGGGTACAAATGTTACTCGTCTACACATCGCCGATATTACTTTTCTGTTGATGTCACATTCTTCGAGTCATTTTCATTTTATTGCACCTCTTCTTCCACTACTTCTACTCCTATGGTCCTCCCTCTTCCTTCATCCGATTCACTCATTCCGTCTCCTCCTCTTCAGGTTTATCATCGCCAACATCGTCATTCTTTTTCCAAATCAACTCTTCCGGCGTCCTTTGTCATCTCCGAACCGATTCCGGTCCCACCCATTTCGACATCCGACACAGCTCCTGCTTTGACTTCACGCCGTGGTACACGCTCTACTCGTAATCCTCATCCTTTTTATACGTTTTTAAGCTATCATCGTTTGTCTTCTCATTTCTACAGTTTCATGACAAACTTAGGATCTATATCTATCCTAAGTCAGTCTTGGAGGATCTCTCTCATCCCGGTTGGCGACAGGCCATAATGGACGAAATGGCTGCCTTAGAAGCTAATGGTACTTGGGATCTTGTTTATTTACCTCCCGGTCAATCTCTCATTGCTTGTCATTGAGTTTATACTATTAAAGTTGGTGCGGATGGCAAACTAGATTGCCCTAAGGCTCGTCTGGAGGCCAAAGGCTTCAGACGGGTCTATAGTTAGGATTATACTGACACTTTCTCCTGTGGCAAAGATGTCCTTTGTTCGCTTATTTCTTTCTCTTGCAACCATTTGGGTCGGCCTCTTTATCAGTTGGACATCAAGAATGCTTTCCTCCCTGGTGATCTTCATAAGGATATTTATATGGACCAACTACCTAGATTTGTTGCTCGGGGAGAGTCTGGTCTTGTGTGCAAGCTCGTCGCTCTCTATATGGCTTAAAACAATCTCCTCGTGTTTGGTTTTGGCAGTTTAGTGCCACTATACAAGAGGTTGGGATGACTAGATGCAAATCCGATCATTGTCTTTTACAGACATACTACTGTTAGTACGTGTTTATACCTTATTGTCTATGTTGATGATATTACCATCGTTGGAATGGTATTGTGCTTTCACAAAAAAAAAAAAAAAAGTATGCTTTGGATATGTTAGAAGAAGCACATATGATAGAGTGTAACCCTGTTGACTCTCCTATGGATGCCAACTATAAACTTCTACCGGATCAAGGGGAACCTTCAGAAAATATTGGTCGTTATCGACGATCAGTAAACTGAACTATCTCACTATTACTCATTCCGATATTTCATATGTTGTTAGTGTGGTTAGTAAATTTCTTCAATCACCACGTACCACCAATTGGGAAGCTGTTGTTTGCATTCTTCGGTATGTCAATGGGTACCTTGAGCAAGGTTGGTTATATAAGAATCACGGTCATATGGACATTGTTGGATATTTCGATACAGATTGGGATCTCCGTCTGACATACGTTCTACCTCAGGATATTGTATCTTTATTGGAGGTAATCTTATTTTTTGGAAAAGCAAGAAGCAAAACTTTTTACCCGATTGACTGTTGAAGCCGAATATTGAGCTATGGCCCTTGCCACCTATGAGCTCATCTAGATAAAGAAATTGCTTTTTGAACTTAAATTTACTACTATCTCCGAGATAAAGTTATGCTGTGATAATCAAGCTGCATGTCACATTGCTTCTAACCCAGTATTTCACGAGCATACAAAGCATATTGAAGTCGATTGTCACTATTATTTAGGTGTACTGGTACTAACTATGTATGTTCTATTGATCAGCTGACAGATATTTTCACAAAATCTCTTGGTGATCCTTGCATCAAGTACTTATGTGACAAGCTTGGCATATTTGATTTGTATGCTCCAACTTGACGAGGAGTGTTAGATATTAGATTGGATTATTTTACAGTTAAGCCCAATGGGCTTGTGTATATAAGCTTTGTTATATAGTGTACAATATACAATTTCAAATAAAGTATAGAATTAGATTTTTCTCTCTTTAATTTACTTGAGGATATTTTGTATTTTTGGATTTTGATGTTTTTCAGGTGAATAGTGATTGAATTTCAATGTAATCCTCCTGGTAGTATGATTGTGATAAATAGAGTAACGAAAATAATTAACTTTATTCTTGGTGCAAAGATTAAATTAGCATAAGAAAACCAATTCCAACTAATACCAAGCCAAAGCCGGGAATTATTCCTACAGAGGAATACCAAAAAGCCATCACTAACCCAAAGAATCTAATAATCCCCCTAACCTATATATGAAGTCCTTACATATATTTGATGTAGATAGGCCCTTATGGACACATGGATACATTTATATCAAGATATCATAAATAAATGACATTAACTAAATGATATAAAATAAAATTCTGAGTCTTCAACCTTGTATTACGATTAAACCTAAGTAAACTTGGTCATTTTTTCCTCGTCTAACATAAACCTTAATATTGTCCAACCTCATATTCGACCGTGCCCTAAACTGTCACCGGTGAGCAAGTAGAGTATGCTAGTGCACTTGAGAGAATCATATCGAAGGAACTCGGAAAAATGACCCAATACCGTCGGGAGACGGGAAATCTCTTATCTTTTGATTACAAAAGTGACACAAACGTAGGAGTAGCAACTTTTTATTAAAAACACAGGTTGCGGCGGCGCAGCGGCAGTTCAGACAATCTTGGTGGTAAAAGGGTTATCCATAAGTAAATAAAGTTCATTATCACCTATATTTCACTTTGCGATTATTGAAAAATATGGGCAATAATGAGGAAGCACTGAGGAAGTCAATTCGAAGAAGACCTCTTCCCGCAAAGCGAAATACGGCCGGTAGTGCTCCGGTTTATTCATATCACTCTCAAAGATAAAACAACTTATATCCTTTCAAAGTTGCACCACTAGCAAGAGAGCTGGCAAGCACGAAAAGAGCAGGATAGTCATTAGTCAGTAGAGGTAGAGGTGGAAGAGGAGAATCTCAAGATAAGAGTGTGTTGGATTATGAATGCATGTATGCCTTAGGGTTATGGTCAAACCTATTTATAGACTTTCCACATAACAGATTGTGAAGATTCTCTCTTGATATGGTATAACTGTTAGGATTAAATCACACACACAAAAACAAGAAGAAAGAACATAAAGAATTACGTGGTTCGGCCGATAAGAGTTATCGACCTACGTCCACAGGGGCAACCAAAACTTTTT